GATATCATCCACCAAGGCCGAGAAAGTTACTCCCCAAAGGGAAGAATAGGGAAAGAAAAGCCTCCAGTGAACAAAGCTCAGGAGATAAACAACAACAGATGTGGGTATTGAAGTGAACAGGATAAATGGCGCTGGAACAATAGGGTAAGCCACAGATTCGGTACAATTCAACCTCTTGGTCAAGTCATCAAAAATTAGCTGCGAAACCATAAGAATCTATCAACCAAATCAGGCGCGTTCGAATTCCCGAAAGAAGGAAGTCACTTGCCGTTGCATGCGGGGTTCATTTTTTCAAAGGGGAGCGATGTGAGATACTCCTCATATTTAGGAGTAGTTTGCATACACCTAGAAGCGGTTATCGGAGACCCACAATATTCACGAGTAGGTTGAAATTTGCTTTTGTAACTTTAGAAAATTCGCATCTACAGTGATTGTCATGTTTGCTTGTGGCATTTCTGCAAACTTGTTCCAAACGAAACATTCTGTTTTATGCCGAATTACCGCTGTTTGTGATACATGACTCCTTGTCCTCGCACTACATTGTAGATTTCCAACACCGTGACAACGAAAAATGTGAGGGGTAATCCCTGTGTTGGAATTCTAGTGAATCCACCAATCTTATTCTACTAGTGACCATATGAAGCGGTCCGTGCTTCGGCCGTCACGCCTCACCTCTTGGACCTGGTCAACAAAAACACCCGTTCAGGCTAAGTGAACTGTTATCTCCATAAACAAATAAAAGTGCTTTTTGAGCGAGAATGGGGTCTGACAGTTCGTCCCCACCCTGAGAAACATGCACTTTTCCATTCATCGAACGAGAATGAACGAACCCAGTGGTATGTTACCTAGGTCGGTCGGATAAGAAAGTGGTCACGATCAGATGGATAGATAATCCGATAATCACAATAAACTGTGGATGTGGTCATGAACCGCTACATGGTCAGGTTCAGCCTATATCCACATTGACCTAGTGATCGAAATTCCTTTAAGATCGATTTTCCGGTTTGTTTTGGGATCAATGTACTTACCCAATTTTGTCAACGCACACTGAATGATTACACTGTCATATGGTGAAAGAAACAACAATGTGCCCCGATACCGACTTACTCGCGGATTAACAAACATTGTATTTTCTTCTGGGAACCACGGACTAATAAATAAATTTCTCGGGCACACCTTTCAGAGAAAGCAGCTTCAGAGTTTAGAGCGGTCGACTGAGTCGAAAGCCGCTTTCAAATCGAGAAAAGCAGAGATGGTGGGTCTACGAAAGGAGTGTCTATGTTCTAGAATTTGACGGAGAGCGAAAATGTGGTCGACACCACCTGGACCGGGTCTAAAACCAGCCTGGTTCTCACGCGTGCACCGTTCACGTGCGGCAGACAATCGTCGGAGTATGATCCCGGCGAGAAGTTTAGAGGCGATGTTGATTAAACCAATTCCCCTGTAGTTTTCATAGGAGGCCCTGTCACCTTTCTTGTAAATCGGTATGATTATTGATTAAAACCGTTCAACGGGAACCTCTTCCCTCTCCCACACTGAGCCCAGGAGTTTCGCTAACTCCGAAACCAACGCTAAACCTCCATCCTTAAAAACGGATGGGGACAGCCCGTCGGGGCCGGAAGCCTTATGACGTTTGAGGTAACTTATTTTCCGGGTAACCTCCATTTCAGATGGAGGACTGGTATATTTTGAGCAGTCGCGGTGGAGGGTGATAGTTCAGATTTCGATGGGGGTAGTTGAACTGAGGCTCGAAAAGTTCAGCCCATCGATCAAGACGGCGTTGCTGATCGTGAATCAGTGTGCCATCAGATTCCTTAATTGCCTCACTTATGCTTATTTTCCTAGGACACGTATTTCTAATTAGACGGAAATAATTGCGACCAGTAGCAATGGCTGCAGCCTTCTCCATCTCTCTACACTTTCCCATTCACCACTTCTCGCGGTCATTCCTCAGACTCTTGATGAGCTGGCGTTTAAGGGATTTGCGCGCTGTGTC